CGCGGAGGAGCGGGCGGGGCCGGGGCGGTCGCGGGCGGGGCCATCCGTGCTGTCTGGGGAACGGGTCTGGGCGAAAAACAGGCTTGGGAAAAGCGCTTTTTGTCTGAAGGCTCTCGTTTGAGTTTAGCATAGCGAGCGGTACGGGAACGTAGCCAGTGTCGGGGGCGTGGATCTGCTGCGGTGGCTCCAAATTATCGTGAGAGTACGTACCGGGGATCGTACCTTCCTCTTTTTAGGTATTTCTAGAAAGAATAGAGTACAGGGAAGAATTGGATGGATTGCCACAAAAAGCCTTGCCTGCAGCACGGGATTGTCGTGACATTTGTTTTACAGCCCCCAAAATACTGAAGAATGTGTTTCATCTAAATTGCTAGGTTTTGACTTCTTATGCTTGCACACCAAGGCAGTTTTTAAAAATTTCTAAACATTTTAAATACAGTACCGCTTTAAAGTTTTCTAGCGAAGCTTTACTAGAACCTGGGATCTTTCAGAAGAGATGTTAATGCCAAGAGAAGTTCTGGGTGGACTTGCAACATCTTTATTGTTTCTGTTTGAACAAAACACTGGAATTGATTGATGCTACTCATTTGATGACGGCAGAGTTAAAAGAACGATGAGACAAATGCAGAGGCTGAATTTTAGTCTGCCTTAAACATAAAATGTCTTGATAATGATTTTAAAACTTTTTGTATATAGCTATCCCTCTTGACTTCGACATCAGCTCCCCTCTGACGTACGGCACGCCCAGCTCCAGGGTAGAGGGCACTCCTCGGAGTGGTGTACGAGGAACTCCGGTGAGGCAGAGGCCGGACCTCGGCTCTGTCCGTAAAGCCAGACAGGTCGATTTACACTCAGATGGGGTAGGTAGACGTCTCAGACTTGGTAACTGGCAACTTCCTTTTTAAACAACTATTTGCATATTTGTGTACGCTTAAAAATTGTTTCCACGCAGCTGGCTGAGGATATAGTAGCAACTGAGCAATCTCTTGGACAAAGGCTTGTTATCTGGGGAACGGATGTTAATGTAGCCTCATGCAAAGAAAAATTCCAGGTGGGTTAACAACTTTTCCTTTTTTTAAACGAAGAGCTACTTTGATTTTAAACAAATACTAGTTGGATCTGGTACAAAGTAGGTGTTTGTACTACTAAATTCTGTTCGTCTTTTCCCTTCTGTCTTCTGTTACCTCTGACATTCAGAGATTTCTTCAGCGTTTCATTGATCCGCTGGCCAAGGAGGACGAAGACATTGGCTTGGATCTTAACGAGCCACGCTATATGCAACGACTTGAGGAGGTACTTGAAGCGAAACCTAACTTTTCTTTTTCAGTCTTGCGTGCCACTGAGCTAAAGATTTCTTTTCAAATATCTTGCAGATTAATATGGTTGGGGAACCATTCCTGAATGTCAATTGTGACCATCTAAGATCATTTGATGAAAATCTTTACAGGCAACTGATCTGCTATCCTCAGGTGAAGCAGTGCACTTCTTCCCTGGCTTTCGAGTGGCCCTTTCATGTTTCTGGCTTTTAATACGTTTGTTTGAATGCAACGTGTACTTTGTGTGTTCAGTGTAATCTCTGGCCTTTTTATTTTACTTAAGATGAAATATCTTGTTTCATAGTAGTTACAACTTGATGGTAGATGTTACAATGGGTACCTCATACATGTAGAATTAGCTGGTAAACTGCAATGTCCAGTCTTGTGTTTTTCGTTGGTTTTTTTTTTTTTCCTTTGCAATACCTAAATGAATAAACCTCATCTAAACAGTAAAGTTTCATGATATGTAGGAGAGTGCTCAGCTAGCATAACTTTTAGTCATTCCTGGCTGATCAGCAGCATTTGAAATGCTTTACACAAAACTATTCTATGATTTTTTTTTTTTTTTAAACTCAAGCTTAACCATTTCTAACAATTTTCTACAGGAAGTTATCCCAACATTTGACATGGCTGCCAATGAGATCTTTTTTGATCGTTACCCTGATTCAATATTAGAACATCAAATTCAAGTAAGGCCGTATAATGCACTGAAGACTAGGAATATGAGAAGTCTGAACCCTGAAGGTAAACTTTTGATTACCATGTTAGAAAAGAATCTTAGGGTTTATATAAACTTATTGAATGTTAACACAGAATTACACGAAGACCATAAAAAAACCCGTACTTGTGGTCCATCCAGACCAACGTCTTTCCTTTATGTCTGTTTCGGAAGCAAATGCTTTAGACCCCAAATGCAGAATAATCTATCCGTAAAGGAAATCTTCCCTGGCATCAGCTACTCATGTTCTTAGTTCTGCAAGTGTGAAGGATCTTTTTCTTTTGTATAAATACTTCTGTAAATTGGAGTATTTGTATTGTGCGTTTGTGATTCTTTTTGTTTTGTCTTGGACAAAATACTAGTACCTAACCAAATGCCCACCTTCCACCTAAAAACTACCGTAACATGAAACATGAAGCTTATTTTAAATTTTAAAGAGTACAAAGTGATGATGCAAGTCTCTGTATTTGTAGATATTGATCAGCTTATCACCATCAGTGGTATGGTCATCAGAAGCTCCCAGTTGATTCCTGAGATGCAAGAAGCATTTTTTAAATGCCAGGTTTGCGCTTTCACCACCAGAGTAGAAATCGATCGTGGCAGGATTGCCGAACCATCCGTATGCAAGAACTGTAACACAACGCACAGTATGGCGCTGATTCACAATCGGTCCATGTTCTCTGACAAACAGATGGTAAGTGGCGCTGAGGTAGCGGCGAAACTGGAAGTTTCTGGTTTTTGCTCCCCCCACTCCCCTAATATCAACAATAGCATTAATGTATGTATCTTGAGACTGCATGTTTTGGAAAGGGAAATGTCTTTTGGAATGTGAAAATGGGTGAAACAACAGTTAAAGGGTAAGAGAAGAAATGCATTAAAAGGATGAAATGAAGTATGTATACATCTTGATGCTTCCACATGGAAGCCCCTTTCTATATAGTATGTCCCCTTCTATGTGGACTAGGTGAGCCTCATCTGTAACAGCTTTTTAACCATTCCAGTAGCAACCAGCAGAATCCCCATTTTCATGGGATTTTTTTTTTAGTAATCAGTTTTGCTGTCTGGGTTGCGGTTATTTTATTCATGAGCAACGTTCACAATTCAAAATGATGATGAAGACTGATAATACAAGATTCTGTTGCATGCTCTGTGGAAAAGCTTAGCTTTTTTGAAACTAAAACTTTAGTGTATTTTTCTAGATCAAACTGCAGGAGTCTCCTGAAGATATGCCAGCTGGACAGACCCCTCATACAGTTGCGCTGTTTGCTCACAATGACCTTGTTGATAAAGTTCAGCCAGGTGATAGAGTCAACGTCACAGGTAAAGTTTAGTTTAGGTATTTGCATCCTAGTTTTTCACTGATCCGAACCATCTATAAAGGGACCTGATGGGATGGGATGCACCTCCAAGTGCTGAGGGAGCTGGGCGCTGGTTTTGCAAGGCTGCTCAATTACCTTTGAAAAGTCATGGTGACTGGTTAAGATACTGGAAGAAAGCCAGTGTCACTCCTAGGGCAAGGAGGAGACCTGGGGAACTCCAGGACAGTCAACCTCATCTTAACCCCTGGAAGGTGATAGATCAAATAATCCTGGAAACCATTTCTAACCGTATGAAGGACAAGAAGGTGATTGGGTGAAGTCAGCATGGATTTACAGTGGATAACAACCTTCTACAATGAGATGACTGGAGCAGTGGATGTGGTTTATCTTGACTTTAGCAAGGCTTTCATCAGTGTCTCCCGTACCATCCTCATAGACAAACCAATCGTGTATGGGTTGGATAAGTGGACAGTGAGATGGATTTAAAACTGGCAGAACTGCTGGGCTCAGAGCACTCTGATTAGCAGCGCAAAGTCCAGCTGGAGGTTGGTCCCCATGGGTGTGGGCCAACACTGGGGCCAAACACTGTTGGGTGTCTTTGCTACTGACCTGCATAATGGGACAGGGTGCACCCTCAGCCACCTTGCAGACAAAAGCAAAACTGGAAGGAAGCGGTGCTTGATAGACCAGGTGACTGTGGTGCCATTCAGCCAACAGCCTCCTGGGCTGGTTAGGAGTGTTGCCAGCAGGTGGAGGGAGGTGATCCTTCCCCTCTGTTCAGCACTGGTGAGGCCACACCTGGAGTCCTGGGTCTAGTTCTGGGCTCCCCAGTACAAGGGAGACATGGACATACTGGAGCAAATTCAGCGAAGGGCCATGATGATAACTGGATACTCTGCCATATATGGAAAGGCTGAGAAAGCTGGGACTGCTCAGCCCAGACAAGAGAATGCTCAGGGGGATTTTACCGGTGTGTTTGTAATTACCTGATTTGGGGGGTGGGGTGGTGTCAAGAGCTTTTCCAAGGGAA